TAATAGATGATCATGTACTGCTTTTCACCATGATTTACATGATTTCTCTGCCACTTCTTCTCTTACTCTGCTCATCGCTGCTGTCTGTATAACACGCACAGCTGGATCTCAGAACTGCACATTAGTCAATTTCACAGCTCTTTTTCACAGCTCTCAATCTGAAAATTCTCAGCTTGTTATCCACCAGTGGCTACCTTTTTAATAATAGATGTGATTTGCTGAGTTTCCACTTTAAAGTTTGCTTAGCAGCAAAGCTAAGAGATGTTAAACATTACCTCTGAAATGATTCATTTTCTCTTACCCTGATGGTTCATTTGAGTATATTGCTCTAATTACCTCTACTGTTCCATAATAGTGTCCTCTAAAACATTAGAGAGATCTTTGATTGTCACAACTATGAGCTTGAGGGAGTTAATGCATAACCAATTCATGTATATTTAATTTTCCCTATACTTTTTTAGAAGTGGAATCCATTCAATATATTGGCTGTAAATACAGATAGCGTAGGTGTAAAAAGTATGCACACTGTGATTGAGATTGTGATTTAAAGTCTTATCACTACATTTGCACCTCTTTTCCGTGGTAGAATGGAGAAGAGATGATCCGGGGTGTATAATTACAAATACAGTTTATGCAAATGTATTTGTTATAACTCACGTTATTGGATTAGTGGTATTCACTACTTTTTGACGTGAAATACTAAAATAGCTGTTAAACACCAGATAGACCAAATCTGGTTGGAATTTAGTCAGCCTGACCAGATTTGCACCAATTGCCCAGATGCATTTAATGTCTGGATTAAATACATGGGGGATGTTGCTCATTCGCACATTATCATTCACTTGCAGTTGGTGGGCAAATCATTCAAAAACCCTCGGCAATGCGAGGGCAGTATGTAGAAGTGCTAGCTAACCTGCCTCCAAAATAAACAAAAATAGTCTATGGGTGTCATAATGATCCCCATATTACTATATGGGAGATTTTAAACCTCTCCATGCCCCCTATCTGAGATAGATAGAATATATATATATATATATATATATATATATATATATATATATATATATATATATATATATATATATATATATATATATATATATATATTCATAATGATCCCCATCCCCATTATATATAATCTATCTATCTCAGATAGGGGGCATGGAGAGGTTTAAAATCTCCCATATAGTAATATGGGGATCATTATGAATATATATATATATATTTATTAAATTAGCAACTTGTCAGCCATTGCTGCCCAGTCAGTAGGAAGGCCTCATGTGGTCTGTAAAATAGTGGGGGGACTTTAATGTGGCCAGCAGTTGGGTGCTATTAAATTATTAAATTAAATTTAAAAAAAAAAATGGGTGCAGTGGTCAGTATGTTGGGGCTTCTAATTTTATTATAATAATAATTCCAGCTCCACATATTGGTGGCAGGTGTGAGCTCTACCATAATTTACTTTTATGCAGATACACTCCTTAATGGTTGTTAATGACAATATTTTAAATTTGCTGGGATGTTTATTGTTGGGGAGAATTAAAAGTACAGGTGTGTGTGGGGAGGGGGGTGTAGGGGGAATGGAGCCTAACCCGCTACTTTGAAAATATATAAAGCGATATGCAGTCCTACTCTAACAAAAATCTTTTATTACACGGATCTTTTTGCATTTTAGGAGTAAATCCTTCAAGTCTTGGTGTGGTGGTAATGCAACTAAATGTTCCAAATGGCCCTCAGTCTTCTTCACAAAACCCACCAATGGTCCAGTGGAACCACTGCAAATATTTCAGTGTTGACCAGCGGGGTCAGAAACCTGAGCATCTTTACAGTCCAGATGCCAATACTCAGGTAGGCAAAAAAAGATTTTTGTTACTCTTTACTTTACACGCTTTTTATGTCAAAATGAATATCACTCTAACAGTTATTATATTTAGACACTATTCTTATGCAGCATTAATAATATAAAAATTATACATTGCTTATTATTATTATTATGTTTTTTTTTGTTTGTTTTTTAAATTTGAAGGCCAATAACTTGATGAGCAGCCCCATGACATCCCCAGCACAGTCACCTACACCATCTCCAGGCTCCAACATGAATAGTGTGTGCACTGGGCTCTCGCCAATCTCTGTGATTTCACAGTTCCCCCGGCCAGTGGGACCAGCACAAGGTAAAACATGTGAAAGTGTCAGCTTATTATATTTGTGTGTTAACGAAAATAAAATAGTTCCAACATGTTAATTTACTAGCTTGTGGCTCAGACATAGTTTCTTTATTTATTTGGCAGAATTAACTGGATAGATTGTAAGCTCGGTTAAACACGACCACCTTCACCCCTAAATAGCCCCTTTAATTGTAAAACGCTGTGGAATATGTTGGTGCTGTATAAATGTTGCTAATAATCATGCAATCAAAAATGGGAAAAACTTAAAAGAAGTCAGCATTTGCAATGATATGGGGGGAGGGGTGGGGTACACCAGGTGAATGGTGAAAAGTAATTCCCTTGAAGACCCAACAGTGAGTTACAGGAACACACGTAAGGCAATATTTATGTCTAGCACTTTAAAAAAAGGAATGGTATAGATTTATTTGCGGATTTATTTTTCCTTTAAACAAAACAAAAAGGGGGTGGGGGGTAATTGTATTTTTAACTTTTGTATTGGGTTCATAACAATAAGACACAATTAAATGTTGAACACAGGCATTGAAAGCAGAATTCCTACCAGAATTCTCCTATGTTGATAAATGATTTAAGCCATTAAATTTCTTCCCAAATTAAACTGAACCTGTAATGACAGCTACCAGTTTGCAGTGTTCTTACTATCTGGCTTTACACATGCTATACAATTGTTTCTTCTCTTAATACTATTAAAAGCTCATATTTAAATTTATTTCCATTACCCTTTTGCTGACCGAATCAATCATGTTTTCAGTGGGTGTTACACTTTCTAGAAGATACATCCCTTCTGCACACCCCTGTTTGGGAGTACAGGTTTAAAGTCCCTAACACTTTATGCTGTCTTGTTGTATGTAATTAAAACTTTTTAGTTCATTTTGTCTGTCCAAAGCTGCTGCAATAAATCTGGCCTTTTCTCTCCTTTCTCTATGGTGCTACTCTCACACCTGGTCTGCCTGTCCCTTCTCCCTCCTTTCCATTGCAGGAATTGCTTTGCTTTAGACCAAAGGCAAGCAGGGGAGACACCCAGAGGAGGGTTTCCCTGATCAGATATGCAGATCACAGCCTTCTTATGTCAGAGACTGGATTGACTAGCAGGAGGAGGGAAGGGTTGTTTTACGAACTTCTGATTTTATAGAAAACTAGATATTTGCCAGCAATCCCCCTAGCACAATGTATAGATGAAATCTGATTACTTATGTAAAATTACATTATTTTTGTCATGACAGGTACACTTTAATGTTTCATTAATAAGTAGAATTTAAGTCATTTTATAGAGTAAAATTAAAGAAAATTCTAAAATCTATCTGTGGTTCTGTATTATGTCTTGGAAAATAAGCAAGTATAATATGAAGGTTGTGTTGGTTGGTGCCTCAAGATGTTACCTTCATATAATTTATCTAAAGTATTTTTAGGACAAAAAAATACAAATTGCATGTATCTAACTAAATGAGACTATTTCAGTGGAATATTGTGTTTAGTTGTGAATAGTGAAGCACAATATTACATCGAATTTCTACATACCAAGTAATGCAGATAGATTGTTCTCTTGACAGCTCTGCTTTGTTTTATATAAAACTCCAGATTTTCCCCCCCCTTCAGGTGATGCTCGTTACTCTCTGCTTGGACAACCACTGCAGTACAACCTCTCTGTCTGTCCTCCATTATTGCACAACCAGTCACCTTATTCAGCACAAATGGTATGCTACCATAAGTATATGTGTAATGTTTAGTTTAACACATTTTAACCCATGTCTGTGAAATGGAGTTGAGCTTTACTTAAAAGTTTACTCCAATCACCATGACCACTTCAGTTGCTTAACCCCTTAAGGACACATGACATGTGTGACACGTCATGATTCCCTTTTATTCCAGAAGTTTGGTCCTTAAGGGGTTAAAACACTGAACATCCTGAAAGACTGGCAGTTGTGTGCTAGGGGCAAGTTGCACCCCTAGCACACATAATGTAGGCAGCCTGGAACTCAATTCCATCCTGCCTAATGTCAATTCTGTGCATAATAGTCTGTCGTCAGTGCGAACAGCACTTATCTGCCCGCCTTCCCACATTGATTGCGCCCCTCCCCTTTTCCCTTCCTTTGTGAGCTCAGAGCACATGCATGCACTCTGAGCCCATAAAATTTTCTAGTCAAAGTTTTCTCTTCGAGAAGCCTTTGATTGGACCTTGGCATGGCTCCCATGACATCAGATGAGCTTTTCCTGGCGCTGGATTTTTAAGGTTAGCAAAATCTTACTTAAAAATGCCCTTTGGGCATTTTTAACTCCTTAAGGACACATGGCATGACTGTGTGACATGTCATGATTCCCTTTTATTCCAGAAGTTTGGTCCTTAAGGGTTTAAATAAGGTAATAATGCCACTAGTGCATTATTCTATGAAAAATAAAGGTTTGGAGAAACTCAAACTCCCCTCCTTTCACTATTTTAACCCCTTAAGGACACGTGACATGTCATGATTCCCTTTTATTCCGGAAGTTTGGTCCTTAAGGGGTTAAACATTTGAAAAACATTGCATTGAAAATTAAGAAAGTCAAAGACGGAAACCTACGTTTTAACTTTTTTGCTCAAAATTTCTACTTTAACCTCATTTAGTGTTGCAGCCACATTGGTTGACAAAGTGTGTGAAATGAGATGGCAAAGTCTGTTTGTATGCAAACTTTTCAGGCATCTCACAGTGATTTTTTTTTTTCCCCTTCATACTTCCTACGGTACAGACAGGGATGAAACATGGAAATCGAGGAAAGAGGCAAGCTCTGAAATCCGCATCCACGGACTTGGGCACAGCTGACATAGGTAAGTAATGTTTAACCTGTTAGCAAGTATTGTTTAACATATAGAGTATGTGTAAGCTCTAGAAATGTAGAAAAGAGTGGGGTAGCCTTTGAACAGGCAGGCTCACCAACAATAGCAATAAGGTAATGGACTGTCTAGCCCAGGGATAGGCAACCTTTGGCACTCCAGATGTTGTGGACTACATCCCCCATAATGCTCTGACACCCTTAATGCTGACAAAGCATCATGGGAGGTGTAGTCCAAAACATCTGGAGTGCCGAAGGTTGCCTATGCCTGGTCTAGCCTAAAGTGCTATTGATCTAGCGGTTTGTTTTTTTATGTTTTTTGGGGTTATTCCAATTTTAATATATTGTGTGCAGTAATTCTTGAGTCACCCTGATGAAAAAGGAGTTTGTAGTAATAATGTAAAAGACAACTTTTAACTAACCAAATGACTCATTAACCCCTTAAGGACACATGACATGTCATGATTCCCTTTTATTCCAGAAGTTTGGTCCTTAAGGGGTTAAACTCTGTAGACTTGTTTTTGACTTTAAAATCTCTCTTTATTCAATATTTTTTTTTTAAAGATTTCACTTTTTGAAACACTACCCATTGTCTTGTACTATAGATCTGTACAGCTGACCAGCCCTCCTGTACACACCACCTACGGTTTCTCAGTTGTGGACTGTAGAGACAGGTCAGCAAACAAAACCGCAAAGAGAAGTGCATATAAATAATGATAAAATAAAAGTTGACAAAATAAAACCGTCCTATACGTATACATTTTGTCTGTATAGTCAGGCTTCCTAAGAGACAATTGTTAGCAGCAATGCCTTCAATTATCACTGATGAAGTCTGACTATACAGATGAAATATGTAACACTGGGACTGTTTTATTTCATCTATTTTTTATTTTATAATTTTGTTTTGTTTTTATATACATTTATTTCATCACGGTTCTCTTTGCTGTGCTGTCCCTACTGTCTACAGCAGAGAATAAAATGGGATGTGTGATCAGGAGGCTGATCAGGAAGTGTATAACCTTACAACATTGCCTGTTAGAACAAATGAAAAACTATTAGCTTGGCATGGTGATTTAAAGATACATGAAATACTGTCTGCAGCAAAAGACAGTAGTAAGCCTTCTATTTCTACTTTCCTAAGCGTGCAACTTAGGCAGCCTTTAGGGTTCATTTATATGGTTAATTCCCTATGATTTTTTATTTCATGTTTTATTATATCCCCTTTTTGTATTGCATTTTTTTATAAAGAATTGAAGAGTCCTGGAGAGTACAACTTTTTTTTAAGGAAGAGTATTTCTAGTTTATCTTTATTTGCTTATGGGTGGGTTAACATGGTGTGTTTTTGATCATGAATGTATGCTTGACTTGTTTTAGAATAGCAGTTTGTGTACAGCTGAACGTGCAAATGTATTACAACCCTACAGCAGATATGTTTTCTACCTGCCTCTCTTCTTATTTTCTCTCCAAGTGCTTGGCCGGGTCCTGGAGATAACAGACCTGCCTGAGGGCATTACACGAGCAGAAGCATGCAAACTTTTCACCCAGTTGGCAATGTCTGGTGCCAAAATCCAGTGGTTGAGGGACGCTCAGAGTCATAACACAGGGCCTGGTGGCGACAACAATGGACATGCCGAAAATGGCCGTCAAACCCATAACAATGACCTGGCAGCCTTGTATACCATCGTGGCAGTCTTCCCCAGCACCACGGCAGCACAGAATGCCTCATTGCAGATCAACAGCCCAATAAGTCGCTTTAGACTGCGCAGCATAAAAAAGAACTTGCGCATACTGGAACGTGCCAGCTCACAATAGCGCGTGGAAAAGGGTGGAAGGGTGGGTGTGAGGGGAGCAAGAGGACTGAAGTGAGATTCAGGGACATGAAAGACTCATCCCTCAACTTTCACCATTCTCCTCCTCTTTCCTTTTCCCTTCCTGCCCCAAACAAGAAGCACACTGGACTTATAAATACAGCCTCTCCTTTCCTAGCTCCCCTTCTTTCTGTCAGCTATATTTTTGGAGCAGTTTCTTTGAAAACATCTAATTTGTTCACAGATTAATTTCTTTTTGTCTCTAGCATGGCTTCATTGTTCACTCAGTTTTAGTCTTGTGATGCTTACCTTTCATCATCCTTAGCTTTCCATGTCTGAATCTTTTTATTTTTCATCTCTACCACTTCTGAGAGTCGTATGATCTTCTTTCGGTTTTATTTACTAATCCATAAATTTGGAAAATCTCTTCTATTTAGAATTATAGCCCAAACTTTTTCATTCTGATCACTCCTCCACAAGTCTTGGGTTAGCAAATGAGCCGAATAGTCTGTTTCTCGTTCCCTTTTCCCTTTCTATATGTTTAATTTGTCTTTCCTTGCCACTTTTTCCCTTTTGACTTTCAATTTGTCCCTTTTAACCCTTTCTGCCATACACTTGCTTTTCACTATCTTTTTGTTTCTTGCACATCCAGCATACATTGCATTTTACCTTGCAGTCAGTAACAGGCTCTTCTAAAGGGATGAAACCTTTATATCTTTGTTTTCCTATTGTCAGATTTTTTCCCCCCTCTACTGTTCTGTTGATATAGACATTAACCTATTTGCTGATCGAGAGCAAAGGAGCTCTTTTGAAGGTATCAAGCTGCCATAGGGTGATAACATGGACAAAATAATTTGTTTTTTCCTTTGTTTTTTTGCCCTGAGTGAAAACTCTGTTGTTTTTTTATTTCTTCTTGGAGTTGGTTGTCCCTGAACATTGTAAAGGTTTGTGTTTTTTTTGTTGTTTTTTTGTTTTGTTTTTCTTTTTAATTTTCTTTTTATTTTTTTAGGGTTTTTTTTTTCTGATGCTTGTGAGAGTACATTAACAATGGATATTTATTTGCACAAATGGGCTGTACTCACTGTAAATTTTATTTAATCCAATTTTGTTTTTAAATATGGAAAAAAGAAGTATGTGTCACATTAAAGCACATGTGTCCTTTTCTTTCTAGAGTTGCTATATACAATTCCAGTGTCAACTTGCTATATTTGGTTCCTGGTCTATTTAATTTGAGTATTTGATTTGATCTAAAAACATGTTAAAGAAACACTCTAAGCATCACAATCACTTGGGACAGGTACTGCCCTGAAGTCTTGCAAATGATAGATGATAAATATATACTCTGTCAAGTGTCTGCTGCTATTTAAACATAACATATAGTTTAATAATTTAACAAAGGCACATGCTACTCTTACATATATTTTTTTCTCTCTGTTTAAACATGAGTATCACACTGCTTCATGCCATTCTTTTGACATCCTAACAGAAAAGTTATTAGGTTTAAAATAATGGTGTGGGTGTTATATTACCTGGTTACTTGAGGAGTGTAACTCTTTAATGATGGAGGCAATTGTCCAAGTTCTAAAACAAACCTAGAATTTGAGCTATATATTTCTTCAACCATAATTTGCCTCGTTCATATTAAGTGCACTAACATTTATATCTACTTAAAGGGACACATGAGGTACCAACACAACTTCATCAAAGTGAAGCTGTTATGGTGCCAGGACGTGCCTGGAGGCAGTCTTACCTCCAGAGGGTAAACCGATCTCGAATGTGTCATTAACATGTTTCCAGTGGCGATGTCCACTCCCCTCTAGGAAGCACGGAGTGCCGATCAGCGACTTCTCATTCACTAAACTGGCTTCCTAGAACCATAACAACTTCATTTAGATGAAGTTGTTTTGGTGCCTGGAATGTTCCTTTAGGAAACCTAGCTTAATTGGCCTGTTTTTCACTTAAGGACCAAAGCAATTTTTGCTATGTGTGTGTTCATCCACAATTTCCATCTTTTTCATTTATTGCACAAATGAATATTATATACCGTTTTTAATGGACAAAATTTGATGTGGCATATTCGTATGAAAAAAAACAAACATATTTTTCCACAGGTTTGTAAATACTAATGTGTGCATAATTAGTGCAGCTTACGAAAAGTCATTATAATAAATTAACTGATTTGTCCTGATTTACAGAGTACATCATGTCTAAGTTTTCAGTTTATTTTTGGTGGCTACAGGTCACAAAATACAATTTCAATGTGTTATATTTACATAAAATAGATATCTCAGGTTATTGACATAAGGGTATTTTTTTAAATTTTTTACTTAACTGCCAATCTCTGCTTTATATTGTAGTAAAATTGTGTTGTTTTTTTCTGATTTGTAACATACACACATACAACAAGCTTTTTTTAAACGTGTATTTCGTGAACCTGATGTGTGCTACTCCTGTACAAAACCAAATACTGTCTTCAGCTACATCTGAAAAAGTAGACACTCCATAGTTTGCCAAATGTATAGTGCCTTAAAGGACCACTATAGTGCCAGGAAAACATACTCGTTTTCCTGGCACTATAGTGCCCTGAGAGTGCCCCCACCCTCAGGGACCCCCTCCCGCCTGGAAGGGGGAAAGGGGTAAAAACTTACCTTTTTCTAGTGCTGGGTGGGGAGCTCTCCTCCTTCTCTCCTCCTCCGTTCCTCCTCCTGGGCTGAATGCGCACGCGCGGCAAGAGCTGCGCGCGCATTCAGCCCGTCGCATAGGAAAGCATTTACAATGCTTTCCTATGGACGCTGGCGTGCTCTCACTGTGAAAATCACAGTGAGAAGCACGCAAGCGCCTCTAGTGGCTGTCAATGAGACAGCCACTAGAGGATTAGGGGGAAGGCTTAACCCATTCATAAACATAGCAGTTTCTCTGAAACTGCTATGTTTATTAAAAAATGGGTTAACCCTAGAAGGACCTGGCACCCAGACCACTTCATTAAGCTGAAGTGGTCTGGGTGCCTAGAGTGGTCCTTTAATGTGCCACCATTTTTTCATCATTTGATTTTTTTACATTCATTTTTGCTAGGCATTTTGTAAATCTGATGTGTGCCACTGTGATGGGCGAAAAAAAGTTTATCTTTTGAGTACAACGATACTTCCAGTGTATGCCATAGACACTCTTATATGGCACTTAACCGTGCCATATGAGACCACACCATTTATGCTTTTTAGGTGTGAATGTTCATGGATTTGCTAGGTCTATGTCTCTTTTGGGGCATTTTAACAATTTGACACTTCAAATTACCCCATGAAGGTCTACCATTTGTAAAAGTAGACACTCTACAGTATCTCAAATGGTATGTATTGTACCAAAATGTTTCACTATTTTTCTATCAGTTAATGTCATAGTTTGTAGAATACTTTTTATTAGTTTTTGCATTTTGCATTTTGTACATGCATGTTGTGTTTTTGCTGGATATTTTGTAAATCTGATATGTGCCACTGTGATGAAAACCACCAAATTATGCTCAGCCATATTTTCAGAGTACAATTATACCCCCATTGTACGGATTTGTCAACAGTTTGTGATGTTGCAGTGCCATATAAGACGTGAAAATTTCAGTTTAATGGAGCTATGTCTCATTTTGGAGGATTCTAGCGGGTTCAAACTATCTCACAAAGGCCTACCATTTCTTAAAGAAGACACCTCAGGGTATGTCAACTGGCATAATTTGATCCTTGGATGTTTTATTTCCTAGTTTCTACCTAGTATAGTGGGAATATGCATTTTTGTCTGCCTTCGACAGGCACATTGAGATTTTCTTGCATATTTTGTAATCCTTATGTGTGCTACGGCAGTATAGTACCCAATATGTCACTCAGCTATGTCTTCTGTGTACCGCAATACCCCATTATACTTTTGCTAGGTATATGTGGATTTTTAACCAGCTAATATGAGACACAGCTAATTTTAGTTTTAGTTTTTTCCTCAAACTTTGATTTTTGATGCTGTGTCCATGTCCCGTATTGGAGCATTCTAGCCGGTAGCTGCTTCAAACTAACCCACAAAGGCCTACCATGTATTAAAGAAGACACCTTATTGTATCTAAAATTACATAGGCTTTCAAATTTCTGATGACAATTTATCATACTGCAGATTACTGCTTTGTAGGCACTTGCTATTCTCATTAAAATATATAAACTGCAGTAATGTTTCAGATCTCTATCTCTTCATAGTTAGTGGAAAAATGGGGGTACAGCACATATGATTCTTTGACCAATGCAAGCAAATAGGCTTCTTTATGATCACTACTAACTTTGAGTGCACAGCATTGTTTTTATTCTTGTACACTGGTGGGGTACCATGCATTCTGGGCAGTAAATAACACATGATTCTTGGATAGATATTGCTTAGCGTAGAGATTGGTTTGTGTTACAATATTCCCTTACAACATCACCCAGGAACAACTGCATAAACGCCACTGGGCTATAGCAAATCACGTCAGCCTATGTGCTTGGAGTTGCAGTAAAGATGGGGATGCCAGGGATAAAATATTGAGGTATCCAGTCATCTACGTCTTGGGCAGGAATCTGTGCTTGTTTCTAGTTTAGGCATATATTCAAAGTCACCTGCATCACTCTGAGGTGCTGTGTGTTACCTATTCTTGGCAATAAGCATTTCCAGACTGAACTTAAACTACAACTAAACAATTATAAATACATTTTGTTATTTATTTGCTTTACAGACTTTTATAGGGTTTCACCCCCTAACACTAAATTCACCACAAATTTTTACCCACCCCAGTTAACTAAATCACGAATTTAAAATAAATTTTAAAAAAGTTTAACCCCTGAGGGTAAGAAACAAAACCGATCACAGTAAGGTACTATGATTTGTATTCTGATCATTGCAAGCAGTGATCAAGGGAAAGGGTTACATTTGGGTAGAGCTAAAAGGAGTGTTAATATTATTGATACTTTGTGTGCTGCTAATGATTAAATTGTAAGGCTCTGATCCATCTCTCTCCACTTCACAAGGACCTGTACCAGATATCCCAGCAGCACTGTGATCGCTGTGACTGGTTGTTAGTGTTTGCTGATCTGCCTTGGACATCCAGCAATAGCATTAACTCCACGATCACCGTAATCATGGCTGGCATTAGTTTTAGTACATGGTGGAATTATTCCGTCATGGATCCTTTAGGCAAGGAATATATATATATATATATATTTTAATGCAGTAGACCTAGGCCTTTTTTATTTCACTTCTAATATTTTTATGTAGAATATAATTTAATATGAATGAAAATAAAGAATAATATTTCTTACACTACAGATTTTAAAGTTCTGCATGGCATTTTAACTGTGAATTAAATACGTTCAACTTTTTGGAAAGCTACCAGGTCAAATATAGGGTTTGCAAATGAAGGGCATTGGTATTTCTGATTAGTTTAATTTATTTCTATATGTATATCTAATATAATTTTATTTCCATATAATATAGAAAACTTATGATTATTGGCAGGTTTATGATGGGTATGATTACATAGCTGGAGGCCTGCTTGGCAATACAGACAGCCCCCCTGCAGCCAATTAGAGTGGTCATCCAGCATAAGGTTAAAATCCGGCTGTGCCAGGGTACGCAATGGCCCCTTAGCCACTATGGCATTATGTAGTACTTATGATGCATAGCGTGTGAAACAACATTACTGCTTGTGTTTATGTAAAATATATTTAGCTATTCTCACTTGCTGTGGAATTAATATCTTTTATAGTTCAGGATGTGATTTATGTTGACTTATTCAATTAGCAGGTTTCATATACACATTTTAAATTTAACTAAATATTTATAGAACCTTTAACATAAATGTTGGTGTACATAACCTAAGAAAAAGACAGAATAAATTAGTCTTGCAAAACATACCCATATTGCAAATCTCCCACCTTCAAAAGATGAAGCTAAATTAAGGCTGTGGTCAAATAAAAGTTCCTGGAGTCCTTCCAAGAATAGTTTGGTACAGTTGTCTTTGTGAGTTCTTTGGATATTTTTACATAGTAGCATTTTCTGGAAACCAGCTTGTGTGCATCTAACTACAGAATCCTCACAAACTGCTGTGTATGTGAGTATTTCGTCAGTCAGCTGTCAAGTAATACATTTTCCACCTGGAATTCCTTGTTGCTGATTTCTGATTTGCTATTTTTTTTTTATTTATTTTTTTTGGATCAAAACATTTTACATAAAGGAAGTTTATTAAAGGGACACTATAGTCACCTGAACAACTTTAGCTTAATGAAGCAGTTTTGGTGTATAGAACATGCCCCCGCAGCCTCACTGCTCAATCCTCTGCCATTTAGGAGTTAAATCCCTTTGTTTATGAACCCTAGTCACACCTCCCTGCATGTGACTTGCACAGCCTTCCATAAACACTTTCTGTAAAGAGAGCCCTATTTAGGCTTTCTTTATTGCAAGTTCTGTTTAATTAAGATTTTCTTGTCCCCTGCTATGTTAATAGCTTGCTAGATCCTGCAAGAGCCTCCTGTATGTGATTAAAGTTCAATTTAGAGATTGAGATACAATTATTTAAGGTAAATTACATCTGTTTGAAAGTGAAACCAGTTTTTTTATGTAGGCTCTGTCAATCATAGCCAGGGGAGGTGTGGCTAGGGCTGCATAAACAGAAACAAAGTGATTTAACTCCTAAATGGTAGTGAAATTGCAGGGGCATGATCTATACACTAAAACTGCTTTATTTAGCTAAAGTAATTTAGGTGACTATAGTGTTCCTTTAAAGGAAAACCATAGCGTTCGGAATACAAACTTATTTATAACACTATAGTGATCTCTTTATTTAGACTCTCTATCTCCTAAATCTAAATAAAAACCGGAAATAAAAGCAAATGTATTACACCCCTCCTCCACCCAACACCAAAAGAAAGTCCCTGCAGACTATGTTTATCATTTTGAATAGCTCCTTGGTTTTTAATAGGGGTAGTATAATCTTTGGCAATGGGTGGAGCTTAAAAGAAAGCCATCCCAAAACTTTTACTTCCCTTTTTTTTTTTTTTTTTAACATTTTTATTTAAGATAATTCTACTTTTTTTTTTTTTTTTGCAGCCATATTGGGTGACATTCTACAGCTATTTGGGCAACTGCTTGTCAGCCTAGCTTCCCCGCTGCTGTAGGTTCAAAAGTTCAATCACAACCCCAGACAAGTTGGGTAATAGTAGAATCTGATCCAACTTGTGCTCAACCAGGTAAATGTGGATTTTTTTTTTTTTTCTTCAAACATATAAATCACAAAAAAAAAAAAATTATTTTAGAGTAGAAACAAATGACTTTAAAAGTCAGGAACGGCATTGGTCAGAGACCTACAGAAAAGAGGAGGCGGTTTTGAAAACCAAAATATATACAATGTCTTGCAAAAGTATTCACCCCCCCCCCCTGGCATTTTTACATGTTTTGTTGCCTCACAACCTGGAATTAACATGGATTGTTTGAGGATTTACATCATTTAATTTACAGAACATGCCCACAACTTTGAAGATATTTTTTTTTTTTTTTATTGTGAAGCAAACAACAACTAGGACAAGATAACAGAAAAAGTCAATGTGCATAACTATTCACCCCCCTAAAGTCAATACTTTGTAGAGCCACCTTTTGCAGGCAATCACAGCTCCAAGTCGCTTTGGATAAGTCTCTATGAGCTGAAAGTTGGATGGTTTGCGCTCGTGAACAGCAATCTTTAAGTCTGACCACAGATTTTCTACTGGATTGAGGTCTGGGCTTTGACTAGGCCATTCCAACACATTTACATGTTTCCCCTTAAAACCTCTCAAGTTTTGCTTTAGCAGTGTGTTTGGGGTCGTTGTTCTGCTGTAAGGTGAACCTCTGTCCTAGCCTCAAATCACGCACAGAGTGGTACAGGTTTTGCTCAAGAATTTCCCTGTATTTAGCACCATCCATCTTTCCCTCAACTCTGACCAGTTTCCCAGTCCTGGCTGCTGAAAAACATCACCACAGCGTGATGCTGCCACCACCATGTTTCACTGTGGGGATGGTGTTCTTTATGTGATGTGTTGTGTTTGCGCCAGACATAGCGTTTTCTTTGATGGCCAAAATGTTCAATTTTAGTCTCATCAGAACAGAACGCCTTCCTCCATACATTTTGGGAGTCTCCCACATGCCTTTTCGCAAACTCAAAACGTGCCATTTTGTTTTTTGCTGAAAGTAATGGCTTTCTTCTGGCCACTCTGCCATAAAGCCCAACTCTATGGAGCGTACGGCTTATTGTCGTCGTATGTACAGATACTCCAGTCTCTGCTGTGGAACTCTGCAACTCCTCCAGGGTTACCTTACGTCTCAGTGCTGCCTCTCTGATTAATGCCCTCCTTTCCCGGTCCGTGAGTTTTGGTGGGCAGCCGTCTCTTGGCAGGTTTGCTGTTGTGCTATTTTCTTTCCATTTGGTTATGATAGACTTAATGGCGCTCCTGGGGATCATCAAAGATTTGGATTTAATTTTTTTTTTTATAACCTAACCCTGACTTGTACTTCTCAACAACATTGTCCTTTACTTGTTTGGAGAGTTCCTTGGTCTTCATGGCAGTGTTTGGTTAGTGGTGCCTCTTGCTTAGGTGTTGCAGCCTCTGGGGCCTTTCAAAAAAAGTGTGTGTATATGTAATGACAGATCATGTGACACTTGGATTGCACACAGATGGACGACATTTCACTAATTATGTGACTTCTGAAGGTAATTGGTTGCACCAGAGCTTTTCATGGGCTTCATAACAAAGGGGGTGAATACATACGCACATGCCAATTTTCTGTTTTCTATTTCTAAAAAATAGTTTTATGTATATATTTTTCTCATTTCACTTTACCAACTTAGACTATTGTGTTCTGATCCATCACATAAAATTCAGATTAATAAAACTTTGAACTTAAGGCTGTAATGTAACAAAATAGGTAAAAAGTCAATGGGGTGTGAATACTTTTGAAAGGCACATTATATAGCGTTGAAAAGAATGACCTAGTTAATTCATATGCCCAAAATCAATTGGAATTTTTATGGAAGAATGGCATCTGAGGACCAGGAAGAAGTCTGGGTGGTTGGCACACTACCAGAGATAATTGTAGATATATACAAAACAAAGCAGAAATTGTGTCCTGTGATAAAGATAAAAGTGCAAATAGAAATCCAGGTATAATGCAATATCAATACTTATCCATTTTCTATCTGGTGTTCCAGAATAACTATGTACATATCTGGTGTGTAGGATCAAATCTTCCATATCGTTTAATCACTTAAAATCACGAAAGAATATTGCACTCACCAACGTAGTACCACTATAAGTGGTCAGTTGAGCATATAACAGGGAAATCAAAGCCCTGTAACAGGTCACAGGTTGGTCCCTGGAAACTGATTACATCCTCCATCCACCCTCCTGTACTGGGTCTGGATTTCTTCGAGTGGGGGAAAAACAAAATACAGAAGTAGATGGCACCAAATTGAAGAAAATAGGAGAATGTAGTCTCTCAATGCCGACTGGTTTCTTCTCACTGGACTTCCTCAAGGCAGAGCTCAATCCCCAATAATCAAAAGTTCCCACCAATCAGGACTTATCCATCTCAGCGTGCATCACATGTGTTTCCTGTCCATATGATATTCACCCCAACCTAAAAGATGGCCATCGGGATCATATTAGCGACGGAATGAAACCGATCGACTCTACCAATGTCTGTGATCTAATCGTGACGTGTAGAAGATAATGGTATAAGGATAATAAATATTTTGTCTGTTTTGATAGGTCTGACCATTTCGTCTTAAGGCTCTGTGATATTTTTTTATTTTTTTTTTTGCTCTTTTCCCTTTAAAACTGTAAGGTATGATTATGATGTTGTGCCTAAATTTTTCAATAAACCTACCTGTTGGGAAATTATACATTTTAAGGTGTTTTAAGACCCTAGAGATGTCATGATCTTTCATCGTCTCTGCACAGAGCTGTTCCACAGGAGTGGAGAAAATCATTGCAAATTCATTATCGCAGAGAACTTGAATTTTATGAAGTAGTTTACTTATATAGAATAAAATGACACTGTTCAAATTATATTTCAAGATAAGCATGAAATCTGGTTTTGTTTAGGGTAAGGGATTGTGGGGCTTTGTTTTTTAGGTGTTTTTTTACAGTTGATTTACAGCAAAGAATGTTTTATAAAATATTTATTGTAAAGCGCTGCAGAATAAGCTGGCACTATATAAATACCAATAATAATTTTTAAAAACCATATGCAGGGGTAGATATTTTTCATTTAATGCTATTTTTTTTTTTTTTTTTTTAAATGTATATTTATTAGGCTGGTATGAGTGACAGATTCACAGATTTCGAGAATGCATTCTCCATTGGGCCATACTTTGGAGCAGGTCCTCTTTGGAGTAATTTCATTTATTCTTTCACGCATTCTACTGTTGGAATGTCAAGCATGTGGACTGCATTATTTAGCAAGCTCATAAAGTTTAGAATGTAGTTGAAATCTTTGCCAGTGTCTCGTTTTTGTTATGCAACTGATATCATCCCTGATTACTGTAATTTGTTTTTCTTTTAATGGATGGAAATAAAAAAAAGTGTATGAAAATAAATTAAATCTCTATGTATCTAAATCATGGTATGGCCTCCATCAACCATGTAACTTCTAGATTATGAAGTTTCCTATTTCTGTGTGTCAGCCTTAGCATCTCAGCTGTCCTGTCACCTCTAGACTTGTCACACCCCCTCATTCAAGGAGCAGTTTATCGTTTCGGTATCTGAGTCAAGTAAGGAACATGTCTCTATCCCCAATCTAAGTCTATTCGTTGGAGAAAAAGGATCTAGTTGTGTTTTATCAAAGAGCAGGAGGTAAGAGAATCAAAACTAGGTGGTAGTTTTATATATATATATTTATATATATAAATATATATACTTTATTGATAATATATTAAACACTATCTGGTGAACGTTACTAGTATTTTAAGGATTATATAAATTAAAAGTAGATGTTTAGACTGTTGTACTAAAACATGTTACTTTTTATGTTCTATTTCATATCTGAGCCTGTTTAAATTGAATTGAGTGCTATAAGGGAAATAGAGGTATTAAGTCATGTGCTTAACCAGTTCCTCTTCTACAAATGGTTAAGCTAAAAAGGAGGAACAAATTTGACAAGGGTTGAAATGAGTATGTGTCTCAATGTTTAGTGATGGGATGCCTTGGAGTGTTTTCATTTTACAAAAATGTAAGTTCAATAGTTAGAACAGAACAAATGACCAATTTTGCTCATTTGAAATGTTTAACCCCTTAAGGACCAAACTTCTGGAATAAAAGGGAATCATGACATGTCACACATGTCATGTGTCCTTAGGGGGTTAAAGGAAATTTGCAATATATTGATCCAAGATAAGCGTGATGTTAATGAAAATAGGTGCCTATGAGTTAAAATGCATAATAACGTGTAAGTTGTATTTGGAATCACACCCCAAAACATTCTGTAATAGATCAAACATTAGATGCACCTGCTGGTTCTGGGAGAAAAAAACAACTAAACACAGGCAAATATAAGGCTCGATAATAATAATATAACCGATGTGTTTTGAATAATATATCAAGGTTTGGTGGCATTAGTTATGCTACTTTTATCAAAGTGTACTTACGAATAAGTAGCAAACGTACTGGTCAAAATCAACCTCTTTAGATTTTATTGAATTTCCAAATCTTGTTGCTTTCTCTCAGACAGGCTTACACTAACCCTTTAGTATGTAAGATTATCAGCAGGTGCAAAGCTTTACCTACTGATCACCAAGTATATGTATCATTTGTTTTTGGAATCCATACGAATCTAGTTGCATTTGCTCTGTTTGGTCTGGTGAAGAAAGGAACTTTCTATATTTCAAGATGGTGGAGTTGTTACCTTATTACCTGATGGAATACTCTCATCCCATTGTACAGCGCTATGGAATTTGTTGGCGCTATATAAATAATAACAGAATGAGATGGTATTGTGTTACACAAGATACACAAGGCCATAATTCAATCACCTGTTAGAGGTGCAGGATATAAGAGTGGGGGTTGTGTTGAAGTTTTGTACAGTTGACCATGGGTTTAATACAAGAAAAGCTGTTTCATTTGAGGAATTGTTGTGTGTGTTGTTGACTTATTGAACATACTCTCAGATGTTGCTAATACAGAAAGTCTTGGAGGGTGGAATGTGATGCGAATACTGGCATGACACAAATAGCTTACTGAGTGGTGTCCATTGTCAAATTCTGCTACTTTCCGGAGATAGTCTAATGGCACTCCTTTAACCCTTTCCAACTTCCCAGGCACATCATACTTCCAAATGCAGTGCAGTACGTGTGGATGAGTTAATACGGCTGCGTACCATGTTCCGTCAGTACAGCTGTTGTTAGTCATCAAACGTGGCTTTTAATATCTCAGTCTTCAGTTACACTGCCAACAAAAATAGTGTGAACCGATCATCCAAAGCAGAAGTACTGTGTTGAGTAAATGTTATGACCCTCAACCATCTCATCCTATCTTTCTACTGCACAAGCAATTAGTTTGAGAAATCTATGATTTACATTTGAAATTTTAGCCACAGAATGAAAACACAGATGCTCCAGGACATGCAGAACCTTTTGTCAAGACAGTATACAGCTTTCTAATGAGTGATATTGTGTTTTGCATTGTATTTCATCTCCTTATTTATAATAAAGGGAAAGAAAACGCCAGCCGACATGAGCTCAGGAGCTAAATAGTCACCAATAATTAGTCTGCAGAGTCAGTAGCTATTAAACTGTTTGTAAAAATCAGGAACCTAACTACTTATAAAATTAATTCCATAAGGGTGCTATGTATGTCTTCTCTCTGGGAATTGCCAAAGCTGTAAATAATTTGTCATGGCAAACAAGATGTTCCAGCAGTGACCTTCACAGCTGGCTAACATGGCACTTAGTGACTAGCTTTAGTAACACCATCAATCTTTGGAAGTAAATGACATCATAGCACATCAAGTATGCCAACTTGCACATTAGTGGACTTCGTGTAATCAGTGCTGACATGAATGTCCATAACACACCTTAACAAACGTTTTACTAGACTTTTGCAAGCTGTTCAACAAACATGCACACCCTAGGCAAACCGGTCTACAAGTAGCATTAGGCATAAAAAACATAAATAATCTACTT